AGAACCCCACAGAAGAACCCCACAGAAGAACCCCACAGAAGAACCCCACAGAAGAACCCCACAGAAGAACCCCACAGAAGAACCCCACAGAAGAAGAAAGAACCCCACAGGAGAAGAAAGAACCCCACAGAAGAAGAAAGAACCCCACAGAAGAAGAAAGAACCCCACAGAAGAAGAAAGACCCTCACAGAAGAAGAAAGACCCTCACAGAAGAAGAAAGACCCTCACAGAAGAAGAAAGAACCCCACAGAAGAAGAAAGACCCCCACAGAAGACCCCTGAGCTCTGCTGTCCCCGGTGCCACGTCCCCAGGAACGTGAATCCCTCTGGGAACGGGGATCGTCCCCCGGCTCGTGGGGCAAAACCCAACCCCGCCAAGCTCGGCACCGGGGACGTCCCAGAGCCACAGTGGCACCTCCAGGGATTGTCAGCCCGTGGTGTTAGCGAGGTGCCACCCTCACTGGGGTGGCACGGGGGGGTGTGACACCACCAGCAGCTGTCCCCACCCCAGAGCCCACCACCCCTCCATGAACCCCGTCCCCAGGTTCTTACCGGGCTGCGCCGCTGCGGTCAGCGAGAGGGGGAGAGAAGAGACACCTGGTCAGAGAGTGACACATCAGCACCCCAGGGTTGTCCCCAAGGTCCCCAGCTGGGAGAGCCCCCCAGGGGAACCCAAATCCTGGGAAATGGGGGGGGATTTCCCCACGGGAAGGTGAGTTCTCTTGGAGAAACCCCAATGGCACCGGGGATGTGGATATTAATATTGTCCTGCCTTCTCCTCCCTTTGGATGTGCCACAATCCAAGTAAAAGCGAGCCCTTATGTGGGAATCCAGGGAATCCCCCTGGCTGCCCTGGGACCCTGGCAGGGCTCAGGAACCCCCTGGACAGAGCCCCCAGAGACACTGGCTGTGATCTCTGTCCATGGAAAAGAGTTTTCAATCTCACAGGATGAATTACCAGCTCTGAGTGTTTGATATCAGTAATAATTAAGTGTGGCACGGGTGCAAAAGTAAAATTTTAGGATTCTAGATGAGGGGTCCAAAGGGGACAAGCTGGAGGAAATTGGGTGTGCCTTGTCCTTTTTCTCCTTCTTCATGCCCTCCATGTCTCACTGTGGTGTTGGCATTTTTCTGTTGGTTTAGGCTGGGGACACACTGTCCAACGTGGGTGACAGATATTGGCACGTTCTTGTAAATCCAGCCCAGGGAGTTTCTGGTATTGAATGTTTGTCACATCCCACTGAGGGCAGAGCCCCACACGCTGCCCTGCAGGACAGAGCTGGGCAGGGCAGCAGAACATGTGAGAGATAAACAGAATAAACAACCTGGAAATCAGCACAGACCAATTCTGGCTTCTGCTTTGGCAACAAAGCAAAAAAACAGACTTTTTACAATTTTGGGATCATCAATACCTCAGATTCCAGCACTTACACACCTTGTTCAAACTCTTGGACCGAAACTACACCCCCCAAGGCACGCTCAGAGCCAAGGCCAGCTCTAATTTTACACATTCTATTTTAAAACGCTCTAAGTCAGCGATAAAGCAAATTAAGCTTCATTCTAGAAGGGCAGGATTTGTTATTTGCTTTTGGCATTTCAGCTCTAGAGACGGGACAAGAGCACACACAAAGCCGGCTTAAAAATATTCCAGGAGATAAAAATTACTTTTCTTACCGGACTTTTCCTCTAAAAGAAGGCAGGGAGAGAGAAAAAAAAAGAAGGAATGAGAAGGTGAGGGAATTTTTTATAAAGAGAAAGCAAAGATTTGTGTCTGGTTAAAATCAAAGCAGAGGGACAGGAGTGCTGCAGCTTCGCCCCTCACGTGGGAGACTGGAAGGAGAGGGAGCGTTTAGAAATTCGTGTCTGAGCCGTTTTACATGGAAAAAAAATCCATTATTTAATAATTTTTGCCATTCGTAATCCTGGAATGCCACCAAACAGAAACTCCCTGGCTGGGAAGCAGAAACAAAGCACAGGGATTTTGTTTCCCTTTGGCTTGGAGAGTCACTCACACCTGAGATCCAGGTCGTTTATAAATCATGGAAAGTTTGGTCTGGGAAGTCACTTAAGCTCTCACTAAAAGCTCCTGAAAGCCCAGAATCCAATCTTTTCATGGCTGCTCGGGCTGAGCCATCAGGAATTCCCATCAGGAATCTTAACAAGCCTTAGGAAAAGCAGAGGGGGCCTTTATGCCAGGATGGACTAAGGAAAAATGACCTTTCCTTCTGGGAACCTGGATTCACCTCCAGGGTGAGAAACATCCATCTGAAACCCCATGGAAAATCCCACAGATGCTTCCCTGGCTTGGGAGTCAGGGCAAACCCCTGAATGATGATGGCTGAAAATTCCCCTTGATTGAAATTCCTATTTTTCCTCATTGAAAAATGAGGATAAGATGGGGGGGAAAAAAACCCCAAGGAATAATACATCCTGAGCTTTTTTATGAGCAGGAAAAGGAATTTTGGAGATGTTTTGAAGTGGAAACATCATTTCAATACATCTGAGCAACACCTGCAGCCACTGCCCTGCGGACCAGACCCCCAAATAAGGACACCAAGGCCAGGGGGACACCGAGTTTGGGATGATCCCAGGGGATCACCACTGCCACAGGGCAGCTGGTTTGGAGCTGCCAGACAAATTTGGTCATATCAGAGCCCCAGACTCGAGCAGCTGAGAACAAAACCAATCCCCAGACAAGGCGAGGAGAGGCTGGATTCACACCTACGCAGGGGACCCTCAGCCAAGCCCATCTGATCCTAAATGCAAACACAGCCAGGCTAAGGAGCTGGCCACAGAGATCCCGACCCTCCAGCTGTCCAGAGGAATTCTGAATCCCCTAGGAAGGGGCTGCTGT